CTACGACTATGTGATCCCATAGGGACCCATTATATAGAATAGATCGAAATGAACCTTGGCATTCGTGAAATCCTCCAGAGGTCAAGGTCCATTTAGATCCATCTTCTATGATGCTTTCAGTGCTTTCAGAGCTCAACAGTGTACTGTCGTAGCTCCAAAAACTTCCACAAAGCTGTAACACAAACGTCTGCAAAAACCTCAGGCAACATTCTCCAGTTCAGGGGCAAGCATTCGAAGTATGTTTTGAATTTTTCCAAGAATAGTTTGCTCAAAGTGCTGCAGGACTTTTTCAGTCAAATAGATTAGACCATCCTGATATCTACCATCCAGGAGCATCCTTGCACAAGTGCATGGGGTTTCGGCACGTCCTTGGTGTTATGATTGATGTAAGACGTTCTTGTATGATGTACCGCAATGCTGTGTTACGAAGCATTTATTCATATTCGAAGCCAGCCTTGAAAAAAAGGATAGCATAGGAAGCACTAACAAATACACAATATACCGACTGTGGATTTTCATCACTACATACAAAACGGTTTCTAATGCTTATGAATACATGAATGCATTGTATTAATGTTCTTACTACTAGGGAATGTCATTCAAAAACGTGGAGACATATAGAGGAATGGCAGCGAAAGGGTTAGGGCTATGGGCTTCCATATCACCCAAAAGCTAGTATATTTGGCTGCTATACATGGAATTTGGCCAACCTAGCCACCGAAGAACAAGATATTGAAAAGAAACCTGAATGGTCGAAATCAGCGCTGGATAACCGAATCGGGCGTCACACAAGGAAAGTGCGCCGCTCAAATCAATATTGTGCTTGACAATAGTTGCGCATCATGGTGTTTCGAAATGAGTTGTGGAGGATTAGCAACAAAAGTCCAAAGAAGGGAGAAAGAACTTCTGGCCGAGGAGAGTTCTAATGTTCATCCTGCACAAGAAAAGCAGCTGGATGGAGTTGAGCACCAAATGTCTCATCACAGAACCTGGTCCGTTGTCGAGCTTCCCCGCAAGACTGAAAGATTTTCACAGAGCACGAACGCACAGCCGATTCATGCCTGCAGCAGCAATGTGCCTAGGACCTTACTTGCGACAGTGAAAACGGATCTGGTCCAATACGAAATGTTTTGTAGTACGAGCCCAAACTCACAAGTATCGGTTTCGGATGAAAGCAAATGAGAAGCCGCCCGAATTCTCGCTTGAGTAGTTACGCGAGTTTAAAGGGCCATTCCGCGATACAAATAAGGCCTATGATCCTCTCACAAATGTGTCGGACGAATCCGGAAGAGCGATATTTTGAGGCTGCGCTACTATGCCAAAATGTGAAAACCGGCTAAGAACTCCGCTAGAAGCTGGCTAATTTAGGCCCGCATGAGCACCCCTTTAGGCCCATCGCCCGATCCTGCACCGCTGGGCTAGCTAGCTAGCTAGCTCAAGTCTACGCTAGCTATGCTTCAGTCTTTCTCTGCTAACATTTCGGAGCTGCTTTTAAATCTGCTGTTTTTCTCCGCTAATCAGATACTTAGCACTTTTTTTGCCTATTTGAGTTCCGTTTGCCGCAATTTGCGGTCGTGAACTGTGCCTTTAAAGGGATGGTCATCATGGGAACGGACCCCTGGATTGTGGCCTTTTACCAGTTCTATCCAGCAAACAAATAGTCCCCGCTAATATTTATTGCTCGTCGAACCACAACTACAAGAAGGCCACACTGCTCGTCGCAGGAGGCCACACCGCTCGTCGCCAGGCCCCGAATAATCGTATTATTGGGCAGTACTCGGACACAAGCAATACTGAGACCTGGGCTCGACCGCATTATTCGCCCCACCTACAGCGCGTAATTTCAATTGCTTCAGTTACTAGAAAGCGCAGTCCAAAGGCAAACGCTACGACAATTCGTCTAACGTGGAAAGTGGCATCAACAGCATTTCACTCGCACTTGTTGAAAAGCTGAAGCTGCTCACTGTCTATGCGCTCCCTAGACACTACATAGAAGCGGGTCATTATTGGAGGGACCCACCTCACTTGAAGAAAAATATTACTCTTTTATGCGTATTCCTCTTCATTTTATTCCAATTCCATTTTCCACGTTTTTGAATGCGATGACCAATTATATTGTTGGGTGGCCTATAAGTAACAGCGTTTTCTCCCAAATCGAAATTTCGTGTACGCGCAGGAAAGACGGTAGGATGCCTATGAGATGCTCATTTACAAGGTCCCAATTCCCATTCCCTAATCGCTTGCTCCAGCTTCGAGTTGTATTGAGAGCATGATAAAGTTGAGCTGCTCTTGAAATTCGAGCGTTCAGAATAAGCGTGAGGAGGTGGTGTCGGAAACTCTCCTTCAAGCCGGCTCAGTACTCCACTTCAGTGAAGTAAAAATGCCCAAAAAAGTAGGAATTCAAGCACACAGCTTTCTAGAGCAGAGCAGAAAATTATGTGATAAACAGAATAGAGGATATCTACAAAATCTTCTTCCAAACAAAATTTATAATAAGGGAAACAGCGCCGTCACTCATAGGCCAACCCAACATTAATATTTAACATTACGGAAAAGGAAGCAGATCTCCACGGATAAATAGGACAAACTGAACAATATAGATTAACTCTATTCGAATAAAAAACTAGTTCGCCAGCTGTACCAGGCTACTGATCTACAGTCCTCATCATTGCGGACCGGTGGGGCGTGTCAGCCAGAAGGAGCGCGCACACTGTTGAAACCGTTCTCAGCCATTTTGTTGCAACGCGTATGCGACAAAAAGTGGTAGAAAACGAGTAATACGAAGGATATTATACAGTATGCACTTGTTCGCTTCGAAAACTGGTGCAGAACGACTTTGTCGAGCCGCACCAAATGCAGCCGCACTGCCACGCCCCACCGGTCCGCAATGACTGAGCATGATGAGCACTGTACCTTACATGACACAGCGAAAAAAAAATGAAGTTCCTTCACTGTGCAATAACTTCATGTCGCATGTGAGCATTATTTCGCCGGCTTTTTGCCATCGAGGAAGAAGGTAGTGCACTCACCTTTCCCCTACAAGTAATATTTCAAAAAACAGCACCAATTCTCTAAAAGATTCTGCTTTGCGGTTCTTAATAATCACCTTCACTTCGATTTTTCCTCTCTCCACAGTGATGAATTGGTGGAAAAAGCAGCGAAGAAGATTGTGTGATTGTTCGGATATCTGAATAAAAGGTCTGAAATGTCAAACATGGGAGTGTTGCGATGTACTGGAAGCCTAGTTGCTAGCGTCTGTTCTGCAATGAAAAGCGACTGATGCGTTTCAATTACCCTAAAGTCCCGTGAATACACTCTTTATACACATCGATTGCGCGTCTCTCACGGCCACATAGTCTCTACAATACACATCGGTTGCGCGTCTCTGACGGCCACATAGTCTCTACAATAAACATCGATTGCGCATCTCTTACGGCACCATAGTCTCTATTCCCGTGCCGGTGCAAACGCCAGCAAAACGCTGGCGAAACGTTAGCGTTACGCTAGCGTTACGCTGGTGGCGCTGGGAACGCTAGATCGATATCCATGCTCTCCCCGGCACTGCCGCTGGCGTACGCTGTAAGCACTACGCTACGCTGCCGCAAAGTATAAACGCAGCCTAATACGACGGAATTGGCGCATGTGTAAGCTCAAAATAACGATACGCTTACTTGAATTTTGTTGGCAACACCAGTGCTCTCCATCCGTGATGCCATATTGACCGTGTCACCGAATAAGCAGTATCTAAGCAAAGAGGTACACATGTTATAAGCTGTATTATTGTATTCTTTCATCAGTGGAAAGTAAGATGGCAGGAAAGTTTTTGAACGCTTAACTAGAATTCTTGCATGCAGTTCATAAACATTTCAAACACTTTCAAGCTGTCACTGAAAAGTGTCTTTCCTAAAGAAGTCTATAGTTCTATCCTATTTCTCTCAGCAAATCAGTTCTGCTTCCTGCTGATAGGTCCTTATGCTGTGACTCAAAGTTGTTTACTGCCACAGCGATAATATCAATATCGTGCGATAATATGAGGCGTGAATGTTTTTCGCCGTTTCAGTGGGCAACACAAATGGTAATAGGTGGTCGCAATGTTTGAGAAGTAGACAGGATAAGCAACTTGGATCCACCCGATGTCAGCGATTTTTTGATGAGCGTTGATTGCAGATCCAGACGCGCGCTACGGTGGGAACACTTTTGATCATTACGAGCGTTTATTCGAAAAGCATTACTTGATGTAAACAACATCTGCGACGGTCTTGCCTGTGCGCAATATCTCATAGTAGATCGGTCTTTGTGTGGATGTCGTCACAATGCGTGTGGTACATTAAAGGTTAACACGTTGGCGACATTGCGTCCCACTGCTGGGAGGCGGCATGGGTAAAAAACCAATTTGATGACCTTTCGAATTTTCAACAGCTGCATATTATCCATGAAGGCATTGTAGAATATACAGTAGCTGTAAACCGTGCAGTTGTGTCATTGAGAGTATTTTACCGAGGCGACAAGCGAAAGTGATTTCCTATGGAAAAAAGGATGATTCTTGGATATATAGAACTGAAGCTCCACATGCAGATAGCTAATGTTGAATAGATAAGTTCAAGACGTTTCAGCTCCATGCGAAGGACTCACTCGTAATGAATCCGCTTTGACCTACCATCTGGCTCTGATGGAAAGATGTCCTTTTTTGGGGGCATTGTTGCGTCCACAAAGGACGGCTCTCGTCCCGTGGGATGAGGGCGGGAGTATGTCCTATGGAATTCCAGCGCGTTTAATCTTGAAAGTAAACAAGAATGGCGACAGCCTTTTTCGCTAGCTGCTGCAATGAATTCCTAGGACCATTCTTCATTTTTTTTTGGCCCGTTTGAACACGCCTTAGCTTATTATGTTGCATTCTCGCGCAAAGTAGGTGAAAACTGGCTTTTGTCCCACTGCGCCGGCAGAGCACGCCGAATAGGGCGCCTTGTCGCCAATGTGTGTAATAAGTATCCTCTGAGGTCGAGCTCTGAGTTAATCGTGACTGTTAAATGGAGAATAGCTCCTGTCCACCGCACTGTGTGGTTGATAATAAGCAGCCTACTGCACTTCATGGTTCTTTTTGTTGAAGGCAACTTGTGAATACCGATGGTATCTAGTTTGGTTGACTGTCATCCAGGTCGTTCGTCTTAAAGCCTGTGCAAGAGGGTGCGCAAATCAGACAGCTCTGCAAAGCCGCTGCAGCACTTGATTTTAATATGCGTTTAGGTATATGATTTGTTTTCAGTTGTTCTAGAGGCCACCGCACCACATCTTTACTAAATTGTAATTTCGCTCGTTCTTTACTAGGACTAAGGTCGTCCAGGTCGAAGTGGGGCATTTGTAATTGAAATTGTAGCTCAATAGACGTGGTTTTGGACGCTGTGATTTCACGAATACTAATTTCGCAATTTTTTGCAGCAATCGATTCCTCTGACACGGATTAATGGAGGTTTTGTTAGAATTAGAATGTAAGGAAAACTCAACATGCGCACTTTTTTCCGGTCACGAACGCAGAGGTGTTGCGCAAGCCAACTTCGCTTGAAATAGACCGGGAGGGGAGACGCATTCCCGGTTCGATTGGCGGCTGGTGTGGGAGGTACTGTCTTGCTTCGGCGGGTATGCGCATGAAGGGTTTCGATTTCCTGGAAGGGAATTGGTTTTGCATTTTGTGGGGAATGATTCTCGCTTTGAGGTCTAGAAAACAGCTCAAACGCCCAATGGTGAGCCATAACTCGGTGTTCAGGGAGCAAAACTACCCTTGACGGACATGGTTTCTCTAGCTGGTGGATGATGGGGTTTTGACCTAACTTTGTTAATAGTTGCGGTTGCAGTTGAGTGAAGAGTCATGCGTCATCAATAGTTCCAGTGGGGCCAATTTCTCTTGTCGTCAATTGGCTGTCTTTGTAACATAACATGAATGCGTAGGAAAGGAGGATACGAGGCTTTGAGGCAGGAGAATGTATCTGCAGCTGAATAGGTGTTAACATCTATAGAACTAACCCATGGGTGCTACACTTGTCGAAGTCAGGTAAAAATGGCAGATTTGGCTAGAAACCTCTACCTAGGTGTAGTTCGCCCCCATAATTACGAATATGGCACTCGCTCAGCGCGAAAACGTCTGCACTGCGCGCCAAGGGCACCTGTACATCCTAAAATTCTCTTAGATCATGAGGCACTGGGCGCGCCAGTAAGCGAACACAAACTGCTTTTCAGGCAAGTCAAGGGGAGCGCTAATGTAGTGTTGACGCCACAACCATCTTTTGCCACGTTTGCACAAAAAGCAAAAAAGTTAAGCTTAGCAGGGATCCGATCCCACGACCTGTTGCATGGTAAACGCGGTGGAAAAAGCTCCATAACTCCGTACAGAAAATCGTTCTGCAAATTTCGAAGGCAGATTCGAGATCAGCGTCCAAAACCACGTCCAATGAGCTATATCTCATTACAAACGGCCACTTCGACCTGACGACCTTCCCTAGTGAGAAATTTCTTTCAAATTTCCCAGTCCGGATGTTTTGCGGTAAGATATTCTTGCCGGTCTGACAACTGTCTATCAGGGAGAAGAATGTCAAAAAAAATGCCAATGATTGAACAGCACCTTGGAGCTGCTAAACCAACAACGCCAGCAGCTACACTGCCGCTGTGAAACCCAATGCGAACCATCATCACCTCGTCAGGGCGGTGTTGCAGTTTGAAATTGGAGACAAACTGAAAAAGAAGGCATAGGGCTGTATATGTACGTACGGTTGCATCACCTGACCGCTCTCATCTTCAGTGCGATATCGGCGATATGTTGCACATGATTGTTACCATTCTCGCTTGGAACACCGGATACAATCATGTACGCGTCTCCGATGGTTTCCACCTAGAAGAAACACTTTGAGCCTCATGTATGACTCGTGGTGCTGTCTAAAAAAATGCTCGTAGGCCATTTTTCCTAGATCAGTTTCCCTATTTCTGGGTAAGGCATCACGACAAACAAATTCACTGTCGCAAGCTCCTCATATCCAACTTTAGCAGGCATCACGGAATAACATCAATGTCTTGTAAACACTTTGATTCGTTTTAAGTGTATATTTTACTCTTGTGTAACACAAAAGGGCGCAGAAGTGACCAACTGTCCTACGCAACGGTAGTGCGCAAAAAAAAGTGATTTTCGTAGCTATCATATCTTTCGGTGTCCTTTCCATTGCCGTATCATTGCACTGTCCCTGGGTTTGTCTCTGTCTCTCAGTTCCTCTCCTATTCGAAGCATCTGTCGCCGTAGCAATAACATTGGTTGCTGGTTTACTTGACTACTTTTACGACGCCCCCTTCTCTTCTTTAGAATCCTCATAATCCCTTAATTGGGATTCAGCATTTCTTTTGCAAGCCACTGTAACTAGTGTAGAATTTTTCAAAAAAAAACCAACCACAGTACTCGGTTTAGCTGCGGGATATGCAGAATTGCGGTACTTCCGGCACTTTGGCAGACCTTAGAGCTAGCCTCTTTTTGGCTGCACTTGAGCGATTTCGAAGAGAATGATAAACGTGTATTACAAAGATGAAGAGAGTTGAATAAATTAATGTAATTTTTTTGCCTTAAGCCGCCAGGTGTCTCGACTCACTACACCAAAATTCTTTGTGAGCTCTACAGCAACTTCACAACCAGCATCTCACTATTCTACGAGGAGATCATCATCGACATGAAGAGACGGAATCGACAGTACGACATCATTTCTCATTTTATAAATTGGGCAATACGCAATCGGAACAGCTCAACAAATTAACTAGGTGTGGGGGCCCAACAGTGCTAGAGAAAGCACTGTGCGTCAATGGCTCAACAAATTTCGTTCTGGAGATTTCAGCCTTGAAAGTGAACCTCATAGCGGTCGACCTAAAGCAATTGAACCTCATAGCGGTCGACCTAAAGCAACATCTGACGAGGATTTTAGGGGGATTTCGGAGGTTGACCCATCCCAAACAGTTCGAGGGATAGCAGAAGAGCTAGGCCTTGACGAATCCACTATTGCAGATGGTCTGGAACGCATTGGGAAGGTGAAAAACCTCGACAATTGGGTGCCCCACAATCGGAGTGAACGGCAGCAATCAGCACGTCTCGAGGTTCCTTCTGCATTGCTTTTGCGCAGCAGAAACGACCTGTTTTTGGGCCGAATTGTCATTTGATGAAAAATAGGTCATGTATGATAACAGGAGACGTTCCGGACAGTGGTTGGATTTCGACAAACCACCGAGGTAATTTTCAACGCTGAACTCTCACGAAAAAAAGATTCTGGTCACGGCTTGGTGGTCATCGGCTGGTGTGATCCACTATAACTTTTTAACACGAGGCTAAACCACCACAGCAGAGCCCTACTGTGAAGAAATCGACGAAATGTACCGAAAATTTTGTCAGATGTAGCCAACACTTATCAAAAGAAAGGGTCCGATTCCTTTGCATGACAACGCCCGCCCACACGTTTCACAAATCACTATCCATAAATTGAACGAAGTGGGGGTTGAAGTTCTACCTCAACCACCATATTCTTCAGACCTTTCGTCAACCGACTATCACCTTTTCTAACATTTTCAGAATTCTCCTGCCGGAAAATACTTCATCAAACAGGACCAGGCAAAACAAGTTTAGTGATTTCGTGAATTTTCGACCACCCAGTTTTTTAACGTTGATGGGATTCTTGACTACTGTCACATTGTCAAAAGTGTGCTGATTCGAATGGCGGCTATTTCGATTGGGTCCGATGAAGTATTGAAAAAGTTACGATCGGTTAAAGTGAAACACACAAACGCTGAGAACTTTCCGGACAACTAATATTAGGTTGGCTAATAAGTAATGGTGGGGTTTTTTTTTTTCAATGAAAAATTTGTTTGAAAAGTGAAAGGTTTTGCAAGCAAGTTATATATCGTCTGATAGGAAACTTCTCCGTAATAAGAATATCAAAAAGCTTTGGTTGAAGGTTGGGGTTTTTTGTGATCTTTTTAGTCGTTTGAAGTTGGAAGTGAAGTCGGCGGAAAATTAGCATCTTCGACAACTGCCTCTATTTACGTCCTACTCAGAAGTGCTGAAATCGCTTAAGCTTGCTCCATAACATTCGGGAAAAAGGTTGAGTAGAAGTCTCAGCAAGGGAATCCTCGATAGGACGCTTTGGAACTAATTTCAAAATTTCAAAGTTGGCTAACCTTCACCTTGCCAATATTGGGGCCAGAGGCTTCACTGTCTGTTCCAACCTGAAATTTCATGCGTAATAGTTGCATTAATTGATATTGAATTGATATTCTGATACTACTGAGAAGTTTGCTATTAAACGATATTAACGCTTGCTTGCAAAGAACGTTTGACTTTGGAACGAATTTTTCGGGTTGCAAAGAAACGGCCTATTTACTTATTAGCCAGCTGCACTGCTAGTGGGCTGGCTAATAACTGCTAGTGGGCTGGCTAATAAGTAATGGCCGTTTTTTCAATTGAAAATTTGTTTCAAAAGTGAGAAGTTTTGCAAGCAAGCTTAACATCGTTTAACAGCAAACTTCTCGTAGTATTAGAATATCAAATTCAAATTCAATTAATTCAACTATTAGCATGAAATTTCTAAATAGAGGCAGTTGTCAAAAAATTCACAAAAGCTATATCCTCAACAAAGCTTTTTTGATATTCTTATACTACGAGAAGTTTCCTATCAGATGATATATAACTTGCTTGCAAAACTTTCACTTTTCGAACAAATTTTTCAATTGAAAAAACCGCCATTACTTATTAGCCAACCTAATATATCGCACAAAGTTTGCAACTAAAAAGTTAAAGTTTCGTTGCAAGAATTACGCAGGAGGTAACGTTCCTCGATGAAAGCTTGTGCGACGAGAGCCGAGAGAGGCACAGAATGCTCGTACACGTGTCCTGGGGGGACCAACATGGTGCTCTCTAAAGACATACTGAATTTGAGAGGGCAAAATTTGCGACGTTGGTATTGCCGGTGACCTAAACTTTACGGAGATGCGCTTTGGGTGTTTCTGCCGATCATATGTTTGGTCCACTATTACCAAAAACCTCCGAGGAAGCTCCTGCACCAAGACGGTTATAAGTTGCGCTGTGGTCAAAAGTAAGTTTCATGCTGATGAACAGGGTATCGAATAACCACCGTACCAACCTTTAGCCAGAGTTATCTCAGTAATGTTTCGAGAGCGTAATATTTAAGAAGGGCCGGTTCGTGAACTATAAATGAGTAGAATGATCCCTTTAATATCCAGGCCATATACATAATCACGCACACAAGATCATAAGGAGTCGGAAGTCTGAAAAATGCAAAATTTAGTCTTCAAGCGGGTCCGACCCACAAACCGTCTAGAGATTCGATAGCCCAGCGCTATCCACCGCACCATCCGTTGGCAATGGTGGTGGCGCTGCTGAAACCATTAAAGAAACTTAAATAGATCTCTCTTCACGCAAAAGAGACGTACTCATTTCTTGACTTTATTTTGCTCTCTTTTCGATGCACAGTTAACGACCACCTCGAAGACTATGCATGCTCAAAGTTACAGTTACAACAGGGCTGATTAAGATGGCTAAAACCGCCCTTTCTTGCCATTTTTTTTCACTCTTCTTTGTCGTTCCCGTAGACGCATAGCAAAAATTAAACCTGTTTTAACGACTCTTGTATAGACCCACAACATTTAACAAACCGTTTTTGAAAAGCGCGCCACGACCTGAGTGAATTCCCTTAAGTGAGGACTCATCTACTGACCTCAGGGTACTCTTTTTGTGTAGCCGTCAAGCAGTCACTGATCATTTTCACAGTGAAAAAGTAATTATTGAGGGGTTCAGGTGCGGAATCCTCGAAGAATCCCGCTACATACAGCCACATTATCCCTTTCAGCTGTGGAAACTTCGATTTTTTTCTTGAGCCTCGGGCCAGAACTTTCCAAAGGCAAAGAACATGGGATAAGGTACATCAGCAGATATGCAGCCTCCTGGTCAACACTTCACACTGGTTAACGTAGCATTCGCATACTGACTATAGATAACTGGAAGGGCCCTACGCATACATCCATCTGACGTCTTAAAATTACTACCAATACCTTTGAAACTTGGAGTCGTTTCTTTGATATGACGCTGATATCGGTAACATTTCCTTAAAGCATGGTGCCAGCAGAAGTGCAGCTGTGAGCCTACACCCGGATCTACTCGGATGTCGCTATCTGATGACCAGGAACCGATAGGAATTAGAATCAAGACACATCATGCGTTGGAAATTTTAGTCGAGTCCCCTGCTAACCTCTATCAAACTTTAGTTACGTTTCCTTCCTTCTATTTTGTAGTCGTTTGCTTAGCTTCATCCACATAGAGTGTGCCGGCTATTCGTGCTGTCGGTTCCGGCTATTCTTGCTGTCGGTTCTATACATTTGCATCCTGTTAGGATCCAGAGCCCTTTCTACTGTTTGTTGCTTTTTTGAACTTTTATTGGCATTTCTTTTCATATGTGAAAGAAAATCAGTGCTAAGCTACGAATTTCCCTGGCTTCTTAGCACAGTGCTAAGCTTACAATTTCCCCTGGCTTCTTAGCACCTGCACTGAATACCATCTATTGACGAAGCAGACAGGTTCACAGTATAGGATAACAGCAAACTGCTCCCTTTATTTGCAGGAGGAGTTTACATGGAAACTTCGGTGTTCTAATGCATGTGTTACTTTAGCTCCCATAGGAAGCCGCATTGCCCAGACCTGAAACAGATGGAGATGACGATATTCATAATGATTATTTGCTATTTTCAACCACTGTTGCAACTTCTATTCAGGAATTCCCAACACTTTCAGGACACTCTTTTATGTACCACTAGCAGAGAAAGAGAATGTGTGGATATACACTGCACAGGCTGTTGCTCTCCAACCCACATCTGCTGTGTTCAGTGCGCGAGTACGCGAAAGCAGCATAAGTGGCGATCGCTTTGGGAGTCCTCAAAGACACTCCCCACGCTCGAGTAATTCGATCTCGTGCTTCCTTGTGCTGGTAGTCCACCCAACCTGAAGGACTTCCC